TAGACCACAATATAGAAATATGTACACACATGCAGTTGTGACTGATGTGTTTCTTTTTTCTGAATTTATACAAACACTATTTCATTTTATAGTAAATTTGTTTTTGCTAGTTTATGTTTATGAACAGAGACCTACAGATGCAGTTTAGTAAAGGAAAACTCATTTGTGAATCTGTGATTAAAGCAAGTTAAACTGAAACTTTGCTTGTTTGCAAAAAGTTATTTCAGAGCCACTCAGTTCTACCTAATGGAAATTATTTGCCTTCAGTGTTTTGTGCTTATGATAATTTTAATAGATATCAGTGACTAATTAATGACATTCTATTAAAAGACTGGTTTACCAAGAGTGACACTGGAGTGTTTTCACCTAAAATGAGTTAATGTAAGAGTCTTGTTACAATAATGGTAAAAGGACATCAGAGTCATAATAATCTTTTAGTACTTTTACTTTTAATACTTAATACAATACTTTTGTACTTTTACTCAAGTGGAGGTCTAAAGGGAGGAACTTCTACTTTTACTGGAGTAATATTTTACCTTGGGTATCTCTACTTTAACTCAAGGACATGGTTTGTGCACTTCGTCCACCACTGATCACACGATACTACTAGCACTAGGAGAGCGAAGGCTAGCACAAGCGCTTGAATCCAGCCACTACATCTTTTTGAACTGCCGCTCACCTCACACAACATCGTTGGACAGCTGAACACACTTCTCAGTTCTATTATGTCAGCTAACAGATGTCTGTGCTGGCTAGCATCGCACTGAGTGAAGGGGAAAGGGATGGCAATCCTACCTACCCAGAGAGAGCGAGGCCAATTGTGCTCTCTTGGACTCTAAGCCATGGATGACTGCGTCACTGGGGATCAAACAAGTGATGGTAAGGCCAACTTAGATAGTTGCGCCACTCAGGAGCCATCTGGCTTCTGTGTTTACCTCAAAACAGCAACAGAGATGTCCAGACAGTTGAAACCAAATTGTGTGGAGAATTTTTACTTTCTGTGCCCAAATCAACCAACGATGAAACTATAAATGCTTTACTAAGACAATAGAGCTGGCCGAAGTTATTATTTTATGGGAGAGCTGTTATTGTGTGTTTCAGTAGTGAAGACATGGTGGTTGTAAAGGCATATAATGAATGATGTGAAGGAAACTGTCAACAAATGTAAAATAGGATTCCTAGCAGCCTATTATTGTTATTGGGCTGCAAAGATACACCGTCTGCTTTCAATTAGTGACACTTGATTAAATCCAGCATTGCCTATGTAAGTGAAGAGATCAGAGAAGAACTGGGGAAAATGCCTATACAACAGCATAGAGATGACATACTGGGTCAAACTCGAGGGTGGCAGGGAGTAGAACACGCAACCTCCTAAGGGAGTATAGACTAGCTGAGAGGGGTGTAACAGTTTATACAAAATTCCTAATTTGGTTCAGGTTCAAGTAGCTTTTAGCTAAGGCTTATTACATACTAAGGCTTATTATTCAGTTACTACAGGGACCTCAGTGCAAACTGGTTGAGTTATTCTTAGGTTATAGAAGCGTGTAATAAAACATTGGGCCCACAGGTGGACCCTGGCCATTTAAGGGGTTGACATATTAGCTCAGGTACAAGTTTTCAATGAGGTTAAAATGAAGTTGTTAGAGCAGAAAGAACACTAAACTGTGTAATATGGGAGTTCACAAGTTCACAATGGTTTCAAGTTAAGTGACTGAATGTGGGCCCACATTTCAGTTCTTCACTACAACATATTAGATTCAAAGTAGTTAATGAATAATGTATGGTTGTTACTGAATAGCGTTAATAAGTCAATGGTAAATTTTGCAGTTAATACAGTTAACTAGGTCACAGCTAATTACCTTATTTAGAGGACGAACTGTTCTAAACAAAGGTCAAACCCATCATTGCTACTTTCTCAGTAGCTCACTCACCTGGACCAGCACCGATTCCATTTGCAGTGAGGGCCACACCTCCACTGGTGGCTAAGTCTGCATTCCATACACTAGAAGAGCCAACAGCAGAGAACAACTTTACAAGTGAAGAAACATTCTGGTTATTATAATATATTACATCTTTATTAAAACCACCACCCTTGTAGCTGCACCCTGCTTGTGTACTGTTGGAGACAGTAAATTATTTCTAATAAAATTCTAATTTGTTTGAGGTGCCCTGCCCGAAAAATCAGCATGGACTAGCACAGCTGGTCACCAACAAAACCGACATATGTTATGTTTTGGATGCCGGTATGACCATGACCAGCTTTTCCAGCACCAGACCATCATAAGCCAGCTTAGACCAGCTTAAATGAAAGGAAAATAAAAATGAAAATGAAAATCATGCTGGTCTTTGCTCTTTTTTCTGCAAGGTGATGTCTTGATTTAATATTCAATACCTAATGTAAATACATTGTTTCCACCCAAACTCACACTGCTGTAAAATCATACCTCTCTATCCTACATTCATGTTCCCATCCAATTTCTGTGCAAATGGCAAGTAATTAAATGACAATACATTAATAAATGTTGTGTTTTTAGATGTTTTCCTCACTTTTAACAATACAAATACTTTACATAATGATGTAAATTCCTGCAAAATAACACTTGTTATTTAAGTTTTGGTTTATTTATAAAAAAAAAGTTTTAAATCTTTATTTAATGTATTTTGCAGCCATCCTAACTTCCCCATAAACTACTGATAAGGACACTCCTTCTTTGTTTCATTTATTTTACTATTGTTGTTTTCTATTGTATTTATGTTCCACCTGCACCGTTATGAGATCACGTTTCTCTGCCATACAAAGCGTTTTGAGAGCTTTCCGTTTAGAGTGGCTGTAGTCTTTTCTGGACATCTCTCTCTGTAAGGCTTTTTAAAAACTCCCTTGTCATCTCCTCAGTTCAGACTTCTCCACCACATTGTTTGTGTTTGTTGTAAGAGGCACGTGAGTGAAATCTGTCACGTGACACTAAGTTTATGCATAAATGCATTCATTTTCTAAAATAAAAAAGTTTAGAATGTAGGTTTTCGCAGTATTTCAGGTGTCGATAAAGAATTTTTCAGCCATATCACCACATTCACCACAATATTCAGTGCCATCAACTGTGTTTCAGCTTTTTGGATGAATCACATTTATGACGTCTTCTCTTTAACTGTAATTATAAAAATGTCAAAACTTCAGAGAAATATGTTTCTTTAGCATCCACTCGGGTCTAACTATATTTTCCAAAGGTTAGCAATTTTAAAGTCTAAATTAAAACACAGAAAATCATACATGTTGACTAATATAAATATATAAATATACAAATATTAAATATTTTTATCTGTTACTGTTATGCCCAAGAAATGACATAGGAGCATCCCTAAGTGTCAACACTCATTAAGAATGCGGAGATCTGTTCAAATCGACATCACAGTAATGTAACAACAAAACTGACCATTTGACCAAATTCCTTAATCTTCAAGTTCATTAAGCTACTGAAATCCACAGTGGTTTCAGGCCAGTGGGACGCATGCGCAGTAAGACAGTGCGATTGTGCCATGTAAACAAAGTCCTTATAGGAAAGTCGCGCGTTATGAGCATCACATTCATATTTAAACCAGTGGCCGGTCTCCTGATTTATAACGTCTCTGATGTAAACAGCGACTGTTTGTGCTGGTTGTATGTGTCGTCATGCGTATTACCATTCAGGAAGGGACATCACTGCCAATATACGAATCAACCACCGGTTAAACCATAAACCAAAACACATTACAAAACCATCAGAAACACAAAGAAAAACATAATAGTTGCTATGGATTTTTCCAGCAGGGATACATTCAAAAACTAAAATTAGTTTTAGCCTAAAGCTTAATATTAAGCTCAGTTTAAGCTGCTTGAGGTAAAAGTTTTATTCCTGCACATGTAATGTAAGTGTACACATAAAGCCCTGTATTAAGGGTCAGTTAATTGAATTACGTCTACATAACCCATTCGCTTGTTAATATGGTTAATGAAAATTGCTTATCATTTAAAACAAAATTCATAAATTTTTCTCTCTCACTGCCTTCTTCAGTCCACTGCTCCTCCCACAATCCTCCGAGCAGAAGTCCAGTACAACACTAAAGCTAAACTTGCAAACATCCAATACTGAGAAGATTATTAGTTTAATCATTCCTTTAAGAAACGCAGTAATTCTGAGATTAATAACTGATCATCACATTGATTTATCAGTCTACTCAGGCTTTAGCAGAGCTCAGTAACACTGAGATTAATAACTGATCACATCATTGATTTATTAGTCTACTCAGGCTTTAGCAGAGCTCAGTAACACTGAGATTAATAACTGTTCATCACATTGATTTATCAATCTACTCAGGCTTTAGCAGAGCTCAGTAACACTGAGATTAATAACCGATCACATCATTGATTTATCAGTCTACTCAGGCTTTAGCAGGATTCTAACGGCTGATTCTAAAATAGTTCATAAACAAACATTGATGGTGTTTCTTTTTGCATTCTCCTACATTGTAAAACGTAACTGAATTCTAAATATTGCCTTAACAAAATCTAACTTGGACTGAATACAGATACTAATCAACGGTGTTGTTTTCAATCCTTCCAAAGGACCGTGCTCTCTTTTGGCCTTATTCATTGTGGTGGCAGTTCATTGTCAACACTCAACTGTGCTCTTACCCAAGTGGTTAGTTGGTATAAATTGGTCTTAAAATTGTTTCCGATCATTTATAATATGGCATAGCTCTACTAGCATATATTGCAAATTTCAGTTAACATCTTTATTCCCATCTGTAGAACATACACCAGCATGACAACACTATTATACCATGCATATGTATGGTGCAATGCACAGTGTGCAAATATTTTGAAGATCTACTGGCAAAAATATAGCAAGTATAATCTTTTCAGAAGGCAGTCTCTCCAGCAGTGTTTGTTTTTTTTTTGGTTTACATTCTTTCCTGCAGTTACGTAAGTCTGGGAGAGCAGGTCTGAGTCCCCCAGCTGAACATAGCAGTGGGGCGTAGCTCACAGGAACGCGCCACACACTAATAGAAAGTGCAAGAAACAGTGTGACCGGTTTCCACCTGGAAGAGTTTGTGATCTGTTTTTGCTAGATCTTTGTAAACGTGTCCCTTTCAGGGTCAGAAAGAAGCTGCCGAGTTGTCATTCTGCCCCAGCAGTGCGAGATAAGAGAGATATTTAGTCAATGAAGAGGCGGAGCCAGAGGATGGGTCGGTCAGCGAGTAGTTCAGATGGACAAGATGTAAGTTTGAACAGCCTGTTGATTCTGTATTGACTGAGTGAAGCTCTTAGCAGCTGTAAAGAAATGTCTTCTTCTTCTTGTCCACTGTCTCAGTGTCCAGGTCTGCCTGTTGCTGTTATCGAGAAGATCATTCTGAACCTCCCCACTGACCAGGCTCTGCGTGTGTGCCGCCTGGTGTGTCACGAGTGGAAGGAGGTGGTGGACAGCGCTTCATTCTGGAGAGAGAAGTGCCGCAGAGAAGGGCTGAAACCCCGCACCGTTGACAGAAGCGCCAGAGACTGGCAGCTCTTCTACTGGCTGTGTAAAAAACGAAGGAACCTTCTGAAGAACCCCAAAGCCGAAGGTGAACAGAACATCATGTTATCAGCACAGCAGCCGATTAAGGTCAATGTGGTGCACTCGTACAGATCACTTGACTCAGTGGTCACCAAACCCTCCACTTTCCCCCAGACTTTAGTTCCAACCTGCGTCTAACATGCCACTCCGGTGTTCAGAGGTGTAAAATTCAGGTCCAGACAGTAAAAATCCTTCCCAGGATTTTGTTCCAACTGCCTGGACAGCTCTGCTGGTGGTTTGATCTAACTAGAGAAGCCAGGCCGTTTTTACTTTCTGGACCTGAATTTTACATCTCTGCCCATGTTGCCTAACACCAATGCATCCGATCCAGCCAAGCTAGGACTTCTGAAGTAGTTCAGTAGCTGGAGCAGGTGTCGCAGATGGTGGTTAGAACAAACCTCTGCAGGAAGCTGGATCTCCAGGACCAGGCTGGTGACCACTGCTTTGACGTATTCAAATCAGACACTGGGCATAGGGACCTTTGGCTCGTGTTCAGCTGCATGCCTCGTTCTATTGGCAGTGCTTTTCGAGGGAGATTATACAAGCTGTAAGCGCAACTGAACGCCTGTGTCAGCAACCAGCACACCTAAAACAGCTGATTTCACTCATTAGAAGGGGTCTGTTGATACTTTTGGACACAGTGTACATTGATTGGTCTCAGCAAAATGGCTGGTGGATTGAAATCGTGCCAGACTGAATCCATCTTTTTCCAAGTCATTTTGTGTCAATTGTTTTAGTCCATTCATCATGGAATTTACATACAATGTAAAGGGTAACAGGTATTTTTAAATTATGTCAAAAACTGAAATACGTAAAAAAATTGAGATGTGAGCTTTGCGATATGACATTCGGAATGGTTTTTACCAACTTTGTACCAAGACGGACACTAATAACCTGCAAAATCTCAAATTATTGGCTTGTTACTGTAATATTGCTACTAATTATGTCAACAATGTTTTCTTGTCCAGAGAATTATAGAGGCTGGGACATCATAGAAAGTGGAGGGGACAAGTGGAATATAGAAGGAATTTTGGCACCTCATCCGGATGAAACAGTAACAAAATGCTTTGTTACCTCTTACTTGTAAGTTTTACACTTGAAAACTTCAAAAATCACTGATCATCTTCGTGACACATAGAGATAAGAGGCTCCGCCTTTCATATGAACTATTATGTGATGTTACATTAAAGTGCATGAAAGGATTATAAAGCCTGAAGCCATCAAGTGAAGCTTGATATAAAAATGTCTGTGTACAGCCTTTGAGCAGTAGAAGCCTATTATTCAGCAATAATAAAGCATGTTTCATATCTCAGCCCATGTATGAAGAGGCAGCTGATCAACTTGCAACAAGAGGGATACAGTCCTGCGCTCCTTGATGAAATGCAGCCTGACATCATCATATCAGATTGGTAAGCTTTAACTCAGCCTTCCTTTATTCCTTCTCCTGTCACAAGTGGCATGTTAATTATATGCTTTTTAAAAAAAATCACCTTCCTCTTGTACAGGTATGCTCCGAGGTGGGACTGTGGTAGTGAATATGAGATCTGTGTAGAGTTGCTCAATCACAAGAAGAAGGCGATTCAAACCTTCCAACCTGAGCCCGTCACCTTTCCACAGTGGAATGATCAGCAGTGGAACCAGGTAAATGTTTAATCCTCTAAACCAGAATCTTTGGGTTTCCACCCAACACAATATATCGCTGCTGTCAGAAGAAAACCTCGTATCTCCATTTTTGTCATTTTTCAGTTTTTGAAATAATTTGAAAATGCCTGTTTTCCTTTACATTGCGTGTAAATTTCATGATGAATGGATCAAAAGAAACAACCCAAATTTATCATCGTCGTTAACCGCTTAGTCCAGATAGTGTCGCGGTACCAGCTGGGAGAGCAGAGAATCCCAGACGACCCTGTCCCCCGCAACTTCCTCCAGCTCATTCCCAGGGACCCCAAGCTGTTCCCAGGCCAACCTGGAGATATAATCCCTCCAGCGGGTCCTAGGACGACCCCAGGGTCTTGTCCCGGTAGGCCGTGCCTGGTACACCCCCACCGTGAGGCGTCCAGGGGCATCCGGATCAGTTGCCCGAACCACCTCAGCTGGCTCCTCTCAATGCGGAGGAGTGGCGGCTCTAGCTCCTCACCCTATCAAATAGAGTGTAGCCGCCACCCTGCAGAGAAGCTCATTTCCGCCGCTTTTATTCACGATCTCATTCTTTCAGTCATTACCCATAGCTCATGACCATAGGTGAGGGTCAGGATGTAGACCGACCGACCGACCCTCTTCACCACTACAGTCCAGTACAGCGACCGCATTACTGCTGCCGCCTGTCCCAGCCTGCGGTCGATCTCACGATCCCTCTTCCCATCACTCCTGAACAAGACCCCGAGATACTTAAACTCCTCCACCTGGGGCAAGTCCTTTCCCCCTACCTGGAGTGGGCGTGCAATCCTTTTCCGGGCTAAGAAAATGACTTGGAAAAAAGTCTGGTTCCATTGAGTTATATTAAAACTAAAGTAGTTTTTTCCTTCTTCTGTAAAGTTACCATTTTCGAGATACAAGGTTTTCTTCCGACAGCAGCGACATGCTCTGCTATATTTACAAGAGGAACACAACTTTTTGAGTTTTTGTTTTTTGGAAAGAAAATTTTCTGTTCATCATGAAAAAAATAACATTCAGGTAAAACAAGCAATAATTCAGTCATTGAGATGTGAACAGGCATTAAAAGTGGCCTGATATGAAATGGTGCATTATAGAGAAACTTGACAAGTTTTGTTTTCTTTACCATGGTTGTGATAAGAACCATGGGTTGCCATGTGTGCAATATAAATGTAGCCATTTATTTACTATCCAAAATGACCATTGTCAACAATGTAGGTTCAATGAGAAGGTAGTGGAGAAGGTAGTACAACAGAAGAAAAGCAACAAAAACACCCAAAGGCATAAGGCTAGGCGTCTTTTAATAGTTAAATAGTTTAACTGATGGTAGCGCAAGTTATAGTTTGTTCCCTAGTGTCGTAAAGTCCCACCGAGGTAGTTGGTACAGCCTGTAGTGTGGCTCATTTGTCACTAACGTTAACTGTTGTGTACAGTGATAGTTCAACAGTTGTGATTTTGTAGTTAGGAGCAGGGAAAACCCAGAAAAATTCATGATTCGTCAGGCTGTGTGTTGAATCTCTTCACAGGTGCAAAAATAGGGAAAAGCTTGTTTCATATGTTTAATTTCAAGATCATGCAAAGTGTTCACAATGGCCAAAACCATCAAATAAGTTGCAGAAAAGGCCACCAATAAAAAAGAACAAGCTTAAGCTGGACAGTGGTGACCTCAAAATCAGTTTCATTCACATTATAAGTCTGAGAAGCCTGTCAAACTGCCCCAACTAAAGGCCCAGCTAAATACAGGTAGAAGCACATACGCTTCAGCATTAGCTATTCAGAGGAGATCATGTTAAACTGGCTCAACTGGAAGAGTCGCAGCACAGAAACCACTGTTGCAGAAAGTCAGCATGTGAAGTATTTTAGTCTGACTAAAACAAATTTGTAAGCTATAGTTGGTTACAGTTGGCTAAATACTTGACATTAAGACTAAGACTTACTACTCAGCCCAGTTTCCTTCAGCATTTCTCTAACAATAGTCGGTTTGAAAGTCTTCCAGTTGGGCCAGTTTCTGTGCTGAAGATCTTCCATTGATCAGTTTTGGGGTGATTTTACCATCTTTACATTAAAATTCCACTTATTTCTCAAAATTTCTGTGGAATTCAAGTCATTAAGATGTAAACAGTCATTCAGAGCAGTTTAATGTGAAACGAAACCACTGTGGAGAAAGTTACCAAGTCAGAATTATTTACAGTGGTGGTGACAGGAACCAGATATCTGAAGAATTTAATGTTTCTAAAAGCTCCCTCACAGACAGTTATTACACAAAATGGTTACAAATATGCTGCCGGATGTCAGAGACGTTGTTTTACAGTAGTTTGTAGGTAAAGTTTTGGCCTAAATCATATTTTTGTAAATTCAGTCATGATGGAGAGGTTTGTGTGGGGCATTATGTGGCAAAATTGTCCCCAAAGAAAACAAAACTTATTTTTTCAGATTTTATTTATTATTATTATTATTATTATTATTTTATTATATATATATTTTTTTACTATAATCAATATCAAAAGCTCAGGAGACACTTGCAGATTCACTGGTCATTTTGGATAGTAAAATAAAACTTATGTTTGTACCAAAACACTCTGAACGGCTTTATTTACATACATTTATTTATTTACTTTAATTACATCTATAGCTGAAGCTCAAAGCAAAGCAAAGTAAGTCTGTGTTTTCATTTATATTAAATTTGTGAGCCTACACTAGTACATTAGCACATACTGAGACATATTTACAGACAAGATGATAAAATGGCCTTAAAATGTTGTGGCTCCCAAGGTGGTTTGATTTTTGTTGAAAGGACAAACCGGTTCCTCTTAACATTTGGGTTGCCGACCCCTGGCTTAGTGCAAAGGCCACCCCGGGTCTGAAGCACACCCAACATTATACAAGTGTTCTTCTGCACATTGTGTGCAATTGCACATTTCCACCAGAGATGTCGCCAAATCCCCAAATCTTACATAACACAGGTTTAAACATCGTCATTATTATTGTTGAAATGTCTTTTGCTGGGTGATTAGCTAAACTTGATGTCCTGCCTGATATCCTCCTCTTCTCTCTCTTGGTGTTTTATTTTAGGTGAGTCATGTCTTCAGTGACTATGGACCAGGAGTTCGCTATGTCCAGTTCACTCACGGCGGGAGAGACAAAATGGGCTGGGCTGGCTGGTATGGAATTCGCGTCACTAGCAGCAGTGTGGAAATCTACCCATCAGAAGAAGCTTAGTGTGTGCGCTAATATTCTATATTATTATTATTCCACTCCTGTAGATAGCAGATACATTATCTCTTGAGTACTTGTAGTTAGTCCATGCACTTGTGATTTTGTACTAAAAATTCTTGACCAGAATTCTGGCTGCTCCATTGTTTATGTTGCCGAGATGTAGCCACTGATAGCCATGTAGACGGTCACTGCCTGCGATTCTCCTTCAACAAAACAGACAGACAGTTTCCTCCGAGTACGTCTGGCTCTTTATTCTAGATAAACACAGTTTCCTGCTCAGCCGTTTCAGCCGGTTCTTATACTAATAACAGGCTGGTGCTGATGTGCAGGAGAGACAGGGAGACTGAGTGTTTCTTTATGGGTGAATCGATATGAAAGTATAACTCCACCAACTCCTCACCGCCCCTCATTTAACACGAGGAGGTGCTGCCTTCACTTTGCAAAGCCTTTGGCCACAATATTGCGACCTTTCCTGGTATTAATGCCACTTTAATGTCGTAATTCTACAACTTTTTTCTTGAAATATTCTGACTTTATTCTTGAAGTCTACTATTTTTATTTTTACTAACAGTGGCCCTAAAACTCCGTCATAGAATACACTCTAACTGCACTTTGTAATATGTAAATTATAATGTAATCTATTTGATCATTAAAGGAAAATTCAACAGATTTTTCTAAGTTCCTGCATAGTTCAGTCATTGAGACGTAAACAAAGTAATTCAGAGTAGTTTGATGTGAAATGGTACACTGTAGAGAAATGTACCATTCATTACAGTGGTGGTGACAGGAACCAGGAGTTATGATGTCTACAACACAAATATAGCCGTTTTATTTACTGTCCAAGACTTGCCCAGTTCTTCTCAGCTTTTATATGTAGAGGTGTTAGTGGGACAATTTGTTATAAATTTGAAAAATTAAGTTATTTTTGGGAAATGTTTTGCCTGTTTAGCTTTCACAGTTATTAAACACCTAAGACGTCTGGTTCCCACCACCACTTTGAACAATTCTGTTTTGGTCATTTTTTGTGTAATGCAATATTTCACAGCAAAACACTCTGAATGACTTTATTTACATTTTAACCATTTAATTATGCTGAAATTTTGGAAATTGATTATATTTTCCTGTTGATTTCAAAAATGAAAAATATGTTAATATAGAGGTTTGCAGACATGATGAAGCATTGGGGGGTTGTCAGTTTGGATTCACTGTTTTCATAAAAAAACAGTTGTGCTGCGGATAAATGTAGGAAATTATTCAGTTGTAAACATCCACTACTGAGAAGATTATTAGTTTGATCAGTCCTTTAAAAAAGCTCAGTATTGCTGAGATTAATAACTGATCATCACATTGATTTATCAGTCTACTCAGGCTTTAGGAGAGCTCAGTAACACTGAGATTAATAACTGATCATCACATTGATTTATCAGTCTACTCAGGCTTTAGCAGAGCTCAGTAACACTGAGATTAATAAGTGATCATCACATTGATTTATCAGTCTACTCAGGCTTTAGGAGAGCTCAGTAACACTGAGATTAATAACTGATCATCACATTGATTTATCAGTCTACTCAGGCTTTAGCAGAGCTCAGTAACACTGAGATTAATAAGTGATCATCACATTGATTTATCAGTCTACTCAGGCTTTAGCAGAGCTCAAAAACACTGAGATTAATAACTGATCATCACATTGATTTATCAGTCTACTCAGGCTTTAGCAGAGCTCAGTAACACTGAGATTAATAACTGATCACATCATTGATTTATCAGTCTATTCAGGCTTTAGCAGAGCTCAAAAACACTGAGATTAATAACTGATCGTCACATTGATTTATCAGTCTACTCAGGCTTTAGCAGAGCTCAGTAACACAGAGATTAATAACTGATCACATCATTGATTTATCAGTCTACTCAGGCTTTAGCAGAGCTCAGTAACACTGAGATTAATAACTGATCACATCATTGATTTATCAGTCTACTCAGGCTTTAGCAGAGCTCAGTAACACTGAGATTAATAACTGATCACATCATTGATTTATCAGTCTACTCAGGCTTTAGCAGGATTCTAACGGCTGATTCTAAAATAGTTCATAAACAAACATTGATGGTGTTTCTTTTTGCATTCTCCTAACATGTAAAACGTAACTGAATTCTAAATATTGCCTTAACAAAATCTAACTTGGGCTGAATACAGATACTAATCAACGGTGTTGTTTTCAATCCTTCCAAAGGACCGTGCTCTCTTTTGGCCTTATTCATTGTGGTGGCAGTTCATTGTCGACACTCAACTGTGCTCTTACTCAAGGGACCTCACACTGATGCTTCTGTTATTGCACTAAACATCACTGTCTGAACATCGGCTATCTGTTTCATCTTTCCTATGTATAGAATATTCAGTGTTCTACAGCTCTTTATTACTTGGTTCAGGTATGTTAGCAGTGCTGCTGGAGTTCAAGACCTTTGGATTGCACTGTTGTTCAATTTTTCTGCCTTAGTTGGTATAAATTGGTCTTAAAATTGTTTCCGATCATTTATAATATGGCATAGCTCTACTAGCATATATTGCAAATTTCAGTTAACATCTTTATTCCCATCTGTAGAGCATACACCAGCATGACAACACTATTATACCATGCATATATATGGTGCAATGCACAGTGTGCAAATATTTTGAAGATCTATTGGTTAAAATAGCAAGTATATTCTTTTCAGAAGGCAGTTGTGTTTTTTCTTGTAATATTGAGAAAACAAGTCCTCTACAGTAGTCTTAATATATATATTACATATATACATATATACACCGATCAGGCATAACATTATGACCACCTTTTTGTGTCTATGCCCATTGTTCATTTTATCAGCTCCACTTACTATATAGGTGCACTTTGTAGTTTGTAGTACAATTACAGACTGTAGTCCATCTGTTTCTCTGCATACTTTGTTAGACCCCTTTTACTCTGTTCTTCAGTGGTCAGGACCCCCATGGACCCTCACAGAGCAGGTACTATTTGTGTGGTGGATCATTCTCAGCACTGCAGTAACACTGATGTGGTGGTGGTGTGTCAGTGTGTGCTGCGCTGGTACGAGTGGATCAGACACAGCAGTGCTGCCGGAGTTTTTAAACATAGTACCTGCTCTGTGAGGGTCCATGGGGGTCCTGACCACTGAAGAACAGGGTAAAAGGGGTCTAACAAAGTATGCAGAGAAACAGATGGACTACAGTCTGTAACTGTAGAACTACAAAGTGCACCTATATAGTAAGTGGAGCTGATAAAATGGACAATGAGTGTAGAAACAAGGAGGTGGTCATAATGTTATGCCGGATTGGTGTATATATAATATATGTATGTGTGTGTGTGTGTGTGTGTGTGCGTGTGTGTGTGTGTGTGTGTGTGTGTGACCCCTGTGGCTAGCTTAAAGGGGAAGGAACTCCACCAATTTTTAAAATTTCTACATAATTAAATGATTGACATGTAAACAGAGTCATTCAGAGTGGTTTAATGTAAAATGCTCTGTTCTAGAAAAACTTAGCGAGTCAAAGTCGTTCACAGTGGTGGTGATAGGAACCAGACGTCCACCTCAAAATGCTCCCCCACAGAAAGTTATCACATGAAATATCGCTATTTTACCTTCATTAACATTCAATATAAAACATGTGTAGGTAGGTTCCCTACCCCAAATATAGCTCCTGGTGGCTGTATTTGTGTTGTGGCACCCCCTGGTTCCTATCACCAGAAATCAGAGTGTCTACCATGAACCATTTTACACAACAAACCACTTTGAATGACTTTGTTTACATCTTAATGATTTAATAATGAAGAAACTTTGAAAAATCGATGGAATTCCCTTTTAATAATATACCTCAAAACAGCCTTTTAATATTAACCTACACACAGCCTGCATTAGAGCCCTAACATGATTAAGACATGGCAATAGCAAGTAAACAATCAAACTGAATTGTAATTTATGTAGTTATTTCTCTACTTATTTGTTTGTCTGTTTATTCATAATTTAAACTATTTTTGTGTGTGGAGTCCATTCATTTTTTGCACCAGGGCCTACAGCATCCTAGTTACACCAGTGCCCTTATCAGTAGATGAGAAGGTGAAGAGAGTATCAAAGGGTTAAAGGATATTAAACTGTGTACATGTACAGAGATTCTAGTCATGGCAATGCAGTGCACACTTGTTTACTTAACACTAACCGAAAGCAGTCGGCAAAGTCAAGTAACCAAAAACAAAAAACAAAACAAACAAACAATTTTAAAAAATGGGAGGGGGGTGGGGGGTGGGGGGTAGGGGAGTAACACAATTACAGCTCCCTAAGGTCTTTCAAACCATTTTCATAAATGTATTTTTTGTGCGCTCTAAGGTACTAAAATAGTACATGAGCTCCTTATGAAAAATGTAAAAAGACAGTGTTTTCATATACCTTGTGTATGAAAACATTTCCTGAATTTGTGAAACAAACAGTATCCTATTGAAACAGCTTCTAAGAAAGTTATTGGAAAGTTTTGCATTTAAAAAATGCTACCCCTTGTAGTATGGAGGACCAGATTTGCCAAACCGATAAATAAATAACATTAAAAAATAAATGGCTTAGTAAATTAATCAAAAAATAAAAAACTAAAGTATATATTGCTTATTGTGATTGTAATTATACACATACTTCCTTTTTCTGCAGTTATATATTTCTCAATTTATTTACTTCTGTACTATTTATTTTTTGTATTAATATATTTTTTCCATATCTATATTTTTAACAATTGTTCTCTTTATTAATTGATTCAGGTATTCATTTATTTATTTTTTCATAAATTCATTTACTTAATTCTGTATTTCGTCGTTCATATGATAATTAGGGGGCGTGGTTTTCACGTTCAGGCTTAGCAATCAAGCCCAGGAGGAGAAGAGCTGATTAAACTGCTCTTTCACTCCATAAAGAGCTGCAGTGCCACAGACAGACAAACCTGCCGATAAATAACTCTCGATGCCTCCACAGGCCGTATGTGAGAAGTGTGTCTGAGTGATCTGAAATTTGCAGAAAAAGACGATGAACCATCTCCTCCAAAGTTCTGAACACTACTGGGTCGACCTCTGAACCAGCAGAGGCAGCAAAATGGACCAAACTGTCCCCACAGCCTCCAACAGAAGAGTCAATAATCCGGACCTGCATTTTCAGCCAGATCAGCCGAGACTCTCAGATCTCTGACTGTCTGCTGCTGTAAGAAGACACCACTGCACTGTCTGGTACTTCGTTACCGCTGAGAGAGCAAGACATGAACAATCGATCTACAGAATGTGACATCGATCAACCAATAGGAATATTAAGACGCTGTGACATCATTGACTGACAGCCCCTTTATTAGCATAAGGACAAGGAAATACAGAAATAAATAAATATAGAAATTAATGGTTATGGAAACAATATAAAATGAACAGAAAAACAGAAAAAATGTAATAAAGAGACATATAAATAACAAAAAAAATTACTAAGAAGGGAAAATTACTAAATAGACATATAAATAAATGCAGACACATTATTTCAGATGAGATTTAATTTATTAATATATTAATTGTTGTGTATATTTATTTATGTTTAGATTTATCATTATTCTTTGCAATTCTTCTTCATATATTAATTTACTAAGTCATTTATATTTAATTTTATTTATTTTTCCATTTGGACAGAATGGATGTGCCGGGATTTAGCTGGGGTTTGTTTTGAACCCGGCTGGAGAGGAGAGCAGGATTTAACTGACTGGTTGTTTTTACAGTCATTGGCTGTTTCTGAAGACTCCAGCACTGTAGGAGGCAGCAGAGGTACAAAGAGCAGGAATGAGAAGACGATGAAAGAAAAAGAAGAGAAAAAAGACGACGAAGGGAGTTGACACTTGTTTTGTTTTTTGGTTTACATTCTTTCCTGCAGTTACGTAAGTCTGGGAGAGCAGGTCTGACTCCCCCAGCTGACCATAGCAGTGGGGCGTAGCTCACAGGAACAGTACTGGACTTCAGACACCCGTTAGTTCAAAGTAACCTGATAACACACACAGCACGCGCCACACACTAATCGAAAGTGCAAGAAACAGCGCGAGCGGTTTCCACCTGGAAGAGTTTGTGATCTGTTTTTGCTAGATCTTTGTAAACGTGTCCCTTTCAGGGTCAGAAAGAAGCTGCCGAGCTGCCATTCTGCCCCAGCAGTGCGAGATAAGAGAGATATTTAGTCAATGAAGAAGAGGAGACGGAGGATGGGTCAGTCAGCGAGTAGTGCAGATGGACAAGATGTAAGTTTGAACAGCCTGTTGATTCTGTATTGACTGAGTGAAGCTCTGAGCAGCTGTAAAGAAATGTCTTCTTCTTCTTGTCCACTGTCTCAGTGTCCAGGTCTGCCTGTTGCTGTTATCGAGGAGATCATTCTGAACCTCCCTGCTGACCAGGCTCTGCGTGTTTGCCGCCTGGTGTGTCGCGAGTGGAAGGCGGTGGTGGACAGCGCTTCATTCTGGAGAGAGAAGTGCCGCAGAGAAGGGCTGAAACCCCGCACCGTTGACAGAAGCGCCAGAGACTGGCAGCTCTTCTACTGGCTGTGTAAAAAACGAAAGAACCTTCTGAAGAACCCCAAAGCCGAAGGTGAACAGAACATCGCGTTATCAGCACAGCAGCCGATTAAGGTCAATGTGGTGCACTCGTACAGATCACTTGACTCAGTGGTCACCAAACCCTCCACTTTCCCCCAGACTTTAGTTCCAACCTGTGTCAAACATGCCACTCCTGTGTTCAGAGGTGTAAAATCCAGGTCCAGAAAGTAAAAATCCTTCCCAGGATTTTGTTCCAACTGCCTGGACAGCTCTGCTGGTGGTTTGATCTAACTAGAGAAGCCAGACCGTTGGAACAAAATCCTGGGAAGGATTTTTACTTTCTGGACTTGAATTTTACATCTCTGCCCATGTTGCAGAACACCAACGCATCCGATCCAGCCAAGCTGGATCTCCAGGACCAGGCTGGTGACCACTGCTTTGACATTTTCAAATCAGGCCTATTTAGAGGGGAAATTGCACCAGATGTTCATTAGTTCTGCATGACTCAGTCGCTAAGATGTAAACGAAGTTATTCGGAGTAGTTTGAAGTGAAAAGCTCCATTCTAAAGAAACTTACCAACTCGGATTACTTCATAGTGGTGGTGACAGGAGCCAGGGGTCGCCATGTCTGCAGCACTAATGTTGCCATCTAATAACCGTTCGTGCCTCAGCGTCAGTTTTCAGCAGTTTCCGATTTTGTATGTGGATCAATTTTCACACTTGAATTTGTTTTTCATAGGAAGCATGAGTGCTTTCTTAACCCATGGCCATCAAAATAGCCTGTATGTGCAAAAGTTTGTAGACACCTGCTTGTCCAATGGTTCTTCTGAAATCAAGGGTATTAATAGGGGGTTTGGCCTTTGTTACGTCCCCTATCTAAATGTTACCAACGCCATAACAATCTAGGGGTCTGCAAGCAATGTAACATAAATAATCAGGCAGATACAGAAAAGTTCTGATAAAAAAAAGTAAATCTGTATTTAAGCATGGCAGTAAAGGGGTTATACAGAGAAAGAACATACAAACAAACTCACTAGAGCCACTAGTAACATCTTCAATATGATCAAAATAATGAACAAAACAAATCTCCTTATTAGCAACTAACTTAGTCTAACAAAACTAAGGAAAATAAACAACATTTACTAAGCTTAACTCCCTAAACAGGAGAAAAGAAGAAGCATAAATAAAGGCCACTCACCCCCACTATAGTGACAAGTTAGAAAACTGCTTACAGAGCATAGTCAGCTTTAGCTAGAGACATAGTTAAAGCACAGTTATAGGAGAACATTCCCAAGCTGTGTACAAAAGAAACAAATCCACGTCGGACCTAAAGAACGATTGTGAAACTATGGATCACCAGGTTTAAAAGTGGTACTAAAGCTTGTTACGAAATACAAACCCCAAAATCTGCCGTGGGCCACGAGGCGAAAACCCCACATGCAGTATCACGTCTCATCGCAGGCACTTTATAGTCACGAAGCCGTTACATCACCGCCAATCGCAACGCGCAGCAAGTCAGGCGACAACTTAAACTTAACCTAGACAGAGACGGACACAAGACAGAAGGGGCAGCACTGCAACATACAACAGCAGAGAGAAGGTCAAACAAGAGTGAACATTTTCACAATCAGAAAAATATTACGTCTGGGACGTAACACCTGTCATCCCAGTAGTATGTGATGGTGCTCCATCATTCCAGAGTACAAAGTTCCACTGCTTCACAGCCCAGTGCTGAGGGGCTTCATACCCCACCTAGCCCCTGCTAGACACTGGGCATAGGGACCTTTGGCTCGTGTTCAGCTGCATGCCTCGTTCTATTGGCAGTGCTTTTCGAGGGCGATTATACAAGCTGTAAGCGCAACTGAACGCCTGTGTCAGCAACCAGCGCACCTAAAACAGCTGATTTCACTCATTAGAAGGGGTCTGTTGATACTTTTGGACACAGTGTACATTGATTGGTCTCAGCAAAATGGCTGGTGGATTGAAATCGTGTCAGACTGAATCCACTGAGTAAAACAAGAAAGCAAATCGCTGTTGTCGGAAGAAAACCTCCAAAATGGTAACTTTACAGGAGAAGGGAAAAACCTACTTTACTTTTAATGTAAGTCAGTGGGACCAGACTTTTGTCCAAGTCGTTTTGGGTGAATTCTTTTAGTCCATTCATCATGAAATTTACATACAATGTAAAGGGTAACAGGTATTTTTAAATTATGTCAAAAACTTGAGATATGAGGTTTTCTTCCGACAACAGCGATATGACATTCGGAATGGTTTTTACCAACTTTGTGCCAAGACGGACACTAATAACCTGCAAAATCTCAAATTATTGGCCTGTTACTGTAATATTGCTACTAATTATGTCAACAATGTTTTCTTGTCCAGAGAATTATAGAGGCTGGGACATCATAGAAAGTGGAGGGGACAAGTGGAATATAGAAGGAATGTTTGTGCCTCATCCGGATGAAACAGTAACAAAATGCTTTGTTACCTCTTACTTGTAAGTTTTACACTTGAAAACTTCAAAAATCACTGATTATCTTCGTGACACATAAAGATAAAAGGCTCCGCCTTTCATATGAACTATTATGTGATGTTACATTAAAGTGCATGAAAGGATTATAAAGCCTGAAGCCATCAAGTGAAGCTTGATATAAAAATGTCTGTGTACAGCCTTTGTGCAGTAGAAGCCTATTATTCAGCAATAATAAAGCATGTTTCATATCTCAGCCCATGTATGAAGAGGCAGCTGATCAACTTGCAACAAGAGGGATACAGTCCTGCGCTCCTTGATAAAATGCAGCCTGACATCATCATATCAGATTGGTAAGCTTTAACTCAGCCTTCCTTTATTCCTTCTCCTGTCACAAGTGGCATGTTAATTATATGCTTTTTAAAAAAAATCACCTTCCTCTTGTACAGGTATGCTCCGAGGTGGGACTGTGGTAGTGAATATGAGATCTGTGTAGAGTTGCTCAATCACAAGAAGAAGGCGATTCAAACCTTCCAACCTGAGCCCGTCACCTTTCCACAGTGGAATGATCAGCAGTGGAACCAGGTAAATGTTTAATCCTCTAAACCAGAATCTTTGGGTTTCCACCCAACACAATATATGCTATATCATATTTACAGGTGGAAAAAAACCTTTTTGAGTTGTCATTTTTAAGGCAAAAAGTTTACAGTTCAACAGAAAATAAAAACAACATTTGTGTAAAACAAGCAATAATTCAGTCATTGAGATGTAAACAGCCATTAAGAGTGATCAGATGTGAAATGGTGCATTATAGAGAAACTTGCGAAGACTTGCTTTCTTCACCCTGGTTGTGATGGGAACCGTGGGTTGCCATGTCTGCAATGTAAATGCCGTCATTTTGTTTATCATCCAAAATTATCAGTGAACCTACATGCTACCTGCATGTTGTTGTTGTCAGAAGAAAACCTCGTATCTCCAAAATGGTAACTTCACAGGAGAAGGAAAAAACATACTTTGCTTTTAATGTAAGTCAGTGGAACCAGACTTTATTCCAAGTCATTTTGGGCCGTTTCTTTTGGTCTGTTCATGAAATTTACACACAATGTAAAGGGCAACAGGTATTTTTAAATTATGTGAAAACCTGAAAAAAGATCTGAGGTTTTCTTTCAACAGCAGCGATGTGTAATGTTGGGAAAGTAGTGGCAAATCTGAAAAACTGGACACAGAGGTCATGGTTTGGTTCACACTGCAGTTTAGACATCATGGTTTAGTAGAAGTTTAGTACAACAAAGAACAAAACAAAAACACTAAAACGCATAAGGTTAGTTGTCTTTTAATAGTTAAATAGTTTAACTTATAGTAGCGCAAGTTATAATTTGTTCCACCTAGTGTCGTAAAGTCCCACCGAGGTAGTTGGTACAGCCTGTAGTGTGGCTCATTTGTCACTAACATTAACTGTTGTGTACAGTGATAGTTCAACAGTAGTGATTTTGTAGTTAGGAGCAGGGAAAACCCAGATTCATGATTCGTCAGGCTGTGTGTTGAATCTCTCCACATGTACAAAAATAGGGAAAAGCTTGTTTCATATGTTTAATTCCAAGATCATTTAAAGTGTTTGTATTCACAATGGCCCAAACCATCAAATAAGTTGCAGAAAAGGCCACCAATAAAAATGAACAAGCTTAAGCTGGACAGTGGTGACCTCAAAATCAGTTTCATTCACATCGTAAGTCTGAGAAACCTGTCAAACTGCCCCCAACTAAAGGCCCAGCTAAATACAGGTAGAAGTACATACGCTTCAGCGTTAGCTATTCAGAGGAGATCATGTTAAACTGGCCCAACTGGAAGAGTCGCAGCACAGAAACCACTGTTGCAGAAAGTCAGCATGTGAAGTATTTTAGTCTGACTAAAACAAATTTGTAAGCTTTTGTTGGTGATAGTTGACCTGTCCAGGGTGTATCCTGCCTTCCGCCCAATGACGGCTGGGATAGGCTCCAGCGTCCCACTGCGACCCAGAAGGATAAGCGGTTTAGATGATGTGTGTGTGTGTGTGTGTGTGTGTGTGTGTGTGTGTGTGTGTTGGTGACAGTTGGCTAAATACTTGAAATTAAGACTAAGACTAACTACTCAGCCCAGTTTCCTTCAGCATTTCTCTAACAATGGTTGGTTTGAAAGCACTAGGTCTTCCAGTTGGGCCAGTTCCTGTGCTGAAGTTCTTCCATTGATCAGTTTTGGGGTGACTTTACCATCTTTAAATCAAAATTCCTTTTATTTCTCAAAATTTCTGTGGAATTCAAGTCATTAAGACTTGAGTAAACAGTCATTCAGAGCAGTTTAATGTGAGAAGTGCCACTGTGGAGAAAGTTACCAAGGCAGAATTATTTACAGTGGTGGTGACAGGAACCAGATATCTGAAGAATTTAATGTTTCTAAAAGCTCCCTCACAGAACGTTATTACACAAAATGGTTACAAATACTCTGCCTGATGTCAGAGACGTTGTTTTACAGTAGTTTGTAGGTAAAGTTTTGGCCTAAATCATATTTTTGTAAATTCAGTCATGATGGAGAGGTTTGTGTGGGGCATTATGTGGCAAAATCGTCCCCAAAGAAAACAAAACAACTTTTTTTTTTTCAGATTTACCACTATTTTTACTATAATCAGTATCAAAAGCTCAGGAGATACTTGCAGGTTCACTGGTTATTTTGAATGGAGACTCTGAACGGCTTTATTTACATACATTTATTTATTTACTTTAATTACATCTATAGCTGAAGCTCAAAGCAAAGCAAAGTAAGTCTGTGTTTTCATTTATATTAAATTTGTGAGCCTACACTAGTACGTTAGCACATACTGAGACATATTTACAGACAAGATGATAAAATGGCCTTAAAATGTTGTGGCTCCCAAGGTGGTTTGATTTTTGTTGAAAGGACAAAACAGTTCTTCTTAACATTTGGGCTGCCGACCCCTGGCTTAGTGCAAAGGCCGCCCCGGGTCTGAAGCACACCCAACATTATACAAGTGTTCTTCTGCACATTGTGTGCAATTGCACATTTCCACCAGAGATGTCGCCAAATCCCCAAACCTTACATAACACAGCTTTAAACATCGTCATTATTATTGTTCAAATGTCTTTTGCTGGGTGATTAGCTAAACGTGATGTCCTGCCTGATATCCTCCTCTTCTCTCTCTTGGTGTTTTATTTTAGGTGACTCATGTCTTCAGTGACTATGGACCAGGAGTTCGATATGTCCAGTTCACTCACGGCGGGAAAGACACACAGTTCTGGGCTGGCTGGTATGGAATCCGGGTCACTAACAGCAGTGTGGAAATCTACCCAGCAGAAGAAGCTTAGTGTGTGCTCTCGCTTCTTTATTCAGCAAATGAATAGTAAATTCCTTCCCATAGATGTTTGTGCCTTCATGCAGCCAGCCTCACTTTACTATACTGTTGATAGAGGAAGCCAAAATATGACTTCAAATAATAATAATTCTTGTTATTTCTGTATTGTTGTTTTTTATATATATATATATATATATATATATATATATATATATATATATATATATAAATGTACCCACACGTACACAAGAGATAATGTATCTGCTATCTACAGGAGTGGAAAAATAATACTGTGTATATATGTATGTGTGTGTGTGTGTGTGTGTATATATATATATATATATCTGCTCCATTGTTTGTGTTCTTATTTATGTATGTATTGCATATATGAATATATATTACATTGAAATTTGTTTAACAATTCAACAAGACAGCTCCTAAATCCTAAAATTTTGTTTAAAGCTATATACTGAATACTGTGACGCTGTTTTAGGGTTAATAAAAAAAATTTAGGGTTAATAAAAGGGTTAATAAAAAAAATATATAATATTTTGAGAAAAAAAAATCGTAATATTTGGAGGATATAGTGGGCTAACTGTAGGGGGGCTAACTGTAGGGGGGCTGCCATAACGCGTTGGGGTCTCGGTTGCCGGAGCTCCACTCACTCCTGTCTCTTTGTGGATCATTTTGATCATCATTCTCACTGTCTGTGAAACTTCATGCCCTCTTTGAATGGTGTGGAGATGAAGCCCTGATAGCCGTGTAGACGACCCTGCCTGCGATTCTCCTTCAACAACACAGACAGACAGTTTCCTCAAGTCCGTCTGGCTCTTTATTCTAGATAAACCGTTTCCTGCTCAGCCGTTTCAGCCGGTTCTTATACTAATAACAGGCTGGTGCTGATGTGCAGGAGAGACAGGGAGACTGAGTGTTTCTTTATGGGTGAATCGATATGAAAGTGTAACTCCACCAACTCCTCACCGCCCCTCATTTAACACGAGGAGGTGCGGCTCCCCTTTGCAAAGCCTTTGGCCACAATATTGCAGTCTTTCCTGGTATTAATGCCACTTTAATGTCGTCATTCTCCTACTTTTTTCTCTAAATATTACGACTTTATTCTTGAAGTCTACTATTTTTATTTTTATTAAGTGGCCCTAAAACGCCATCATAGAATACACTCTAACTGCACTTTGTAATATGTAAATTATAATGTAATCTATTTGATCATTAAAGGTTCCTGCATAGTTCAGTCATTGAGACGTAAACAAAGTAATTCAGAGTAGTTTGATGTGAAATGGTACACTGTAGAGAAATGTAACACTCATTACAGTGGTGGTGACAGGAACCAGGAGTTATGATGTCTACAACACAAATATAGCCATTTTATTTACTGTCTAAGACTTGCCCAGTTCTTCTCAGCTTTTATATGTAGAGGTGTTAGTGGAAAAAAAATTTGAATTTTAGAAAAAAAATTATTTTTGGGAAATGTTTTGCCTGTTTAGCTTTCACAGATATTAAACACTTCAGACATCTGGTTCCTGCCACCACTTTGAACAATTCTGTTTTGGTAATTTTTTGTGTAATGCAATATTTCACAGCAAACCACTCTGAATGACTTCACTTACATTTTAACCATTTAATTATGCTGAAATTTTGGAAATTGATTACATTTCCCTGTTGATTTAAAAAATGTTTGATTTTTTTTTTCCATTTTTTTTCTTGAAAAATATGTTAATATTGAAGTTTGCGGACATGATAAAGCATATATTGGGGGGTTGTCAGTTTGGATTCGCTGTTTCCATTTAAAAAAAAACAGTTATGCTGCAGATAAATGTAGGAAATGATTCAGTTAAGATGCTACAGTAGGTTTCTATTCTAACTAATTTGCATGAAGCTTTAAAATGAAGAAATGTTAGGCATGTCTAGAATGATGAACAGAGCGTTGGAGATGATTCAGGAGTGACTGAGAAAGCTAAAAAGGAAGTTATTAAAAAAAATAACACCCAGAATGCCTTGTAGTTGAAAAGCGTTGATCAAATCTCAAGGCAGATAAATGTATCAGGAAGTTACTATGAATACATAAATACAGTTTTTTTTATCATTAAATAAAAATATCTTGCTGCTCCCAAAAACATAAATACTGAGTAAAACATCTTGAAATACTTTCTGGTGTCTAGTTTGTAATTTATTGTTACTGTTGAATGAAACTTTACTGTTCACAGGTCGTATTAGTAATTAAAGTGAACCTTAAAGTCAAATACTAAACATTTAAATAACTGCCTGCTCGTTTTCTCCATACGTGGAGGGTAGAGCTTCCCAGAATTCTCAAGACTGGTGCTGTTTTCCCCAGCTCTGTAGCCTAAGAGGAAAAAATATTGCTGCCTTCATGTTGCGTCAGAAATATTGTATTTACAAGATGAGCACATGAGCACTATTCACTACAAGGAAACCTGGGCTGTGTTCGAAATAGCCCACATACTGCTCGGGTACTGATTCTGCAGTATGTGACCAACTTTAATTTCTTTAGTACGCCAAAGATTCCCAGATGACGTACTGCTCTGGCAAATTTTCCAGTAGGCTGCCAGAACTATCTCTGTGATATCCTGCATCCCAAAATGCAGTGTGGCCTTTCTGGGAGGACGTAGCCTAAGAACTTGTAGGCTGCATCCGAAATGGCAGACTTAAGCAGTATGTACTAAATTCAGTCAATTCATTGAAGAAATATATACGTCCAGTATGCGAGTACACAGTATAGACCACTGTAGTCGTGTCGTCATTTTGTAGTCGGCTCCATGCTCTTATGCCCATATTAGGAACTCCGGGTCTGAGCTCCATTTCTCTATGGCCAGAATGAATAGGGTTTTCGAAAAATCGCCCCCTGTGTTAAATAAAAATGTCCAGAACCCGATACGTTTTGTCCTGTGAACATTCTTCTCTCAAATACCACTGGATTCCCTGAATTCTGAGGTTGTTAAATAGTTGGAATATGAATATTGCTACATGTGAGCTAAAGCTACTGCGCACTGAATTCACGTCATTTGACTTGCAGCCTCCTTAAGCGGGTTTTGGCAGTGGACCTTTCCATGTACAGACTGAGGGCAGGTGAAAAGAAGTCAGAACGAAATCAGCAGGTTTCCCTGCAGTTCTCTGTTCTTCATCTGATGCTCACTGAAACACGATAGATCTTTCCTTTCTGTACACAGCTTGATTTGAAAAGCTCTACAAACTTAACTGCACTTCAGTACAGACTCTGCTTAATATCACTGCTCACCCCTGGTTAGCTGATTTAGGTTATCAGAGTAATTATTATTTTAATCCTGGTTACATTTTCTGAGGACGTTTTCTCAGGACATTCCCCAGCTTCCTGTTTTCCCGTTCCACCTTAAATGGTGCAGCAGTTACGTTCGCAGCTGCTGCGCCATTTAAGGTGGAGCAGGAAAATTCACACAAGCAGCTGGTGAAAAAGCTGACTACAGCCTCGTAGAGAGCTGAAAGGCTTGATATGAGGAGGTTTTTCTATTTCTACTTGACAGCTGAGTAACTTATTTTTGCTGTTTCATAAAATCAACAGGCATGGCTGTAACTGCATGAGGACGCCGTGGTCTGGACCTTAGTAGTTTCAAATGTTTTTTTTTCCACTTTTCTCTCTCATGAGATTAAACGTAGAAACAGCCCCATTATGATAATACAGTTGTTTATTCAGGGGCGCAGCCACAGTACCACAGACCTTCCCAGAATATTTATTATGCATCATTTTTTATACTGATGAAATTTGGTTTGTTTTCTGTGAGCGCTGTCACTGTAATATAACAAATTAAAATCTGCTAAGCTCCGCCTTAACGTCTCAACCCTCCAATCAATGCTTAGCAAACGTTGCTATCCGCAATTTCTTTAGTAATCAGTGCCTGTCATGTTTGTAACTAGCGTTGTGACTCTGAGGTTCTCTGAAGTTTCTGAAGGGTTTTGAGATTCACTGTGGAAAAAAGCGAATTACACTATATTGCCAAAAGTATTCGCTCATCTGCCTTCACACACATATGAACTTGAGTGAGATCCCATTCTTAATCCTTAGGGTTTAATATGATGTTGGCCCACCCTTTGCAGCTATAACAGCTTCAACTCTTCTGGGAAGGCTTTCCACAAGGGTTAGGAGAGTATTTATGGGAATTTTTGACCATTCTACCAGAAACGAATTTGTGAGGTCAGACACTGATGTTGGACGAGAAGGCCTGGCTCGCAGTCTCCGCTCTAATTCATCCCAAAGGTGTTCTATTGGGTTGAGGTCAGGACTACAGAAACTTGCTCATCCATGTCTTTATGGACCTTGCTTTGTGCACTGGTGCGCCGTCATGTTGGAACAGGAAGGGGCCGTCCCCAAACTGGTCCCACAAAGTTGGGAGCATGAAATTGTCCAAAATCTCTTGGTTTGCTGAAGCATTAAGAGTTCTTTTCACTGGAACTAAGGGGCCGAGCCCAACTCCTGAAACACAACCCCACACCATAATCCCCCCTCCACCAAACTTTACACTTGGCACAATGCAGTCAGACAAGTACCGTCTCCTGGCAACCGCCAAACCCAGACTCATCCATCGGATTGCCAGACAGAGAAGCGTGATTCGGTTTTTCAGTCATCAGGGAGGAGAGAGATGCAAAGAAACAAGCAGAGAGAGAGAGAGAGAGAGGTAAATTAAATCAATTTGAAATTATCACTTGATTTAGTGTAGGTTTTAACATGTATTTTCAGCTGAAAATAAAGATAAATAAATAGTTTTAATTAAGTAGGAGTCAAATCAGTTTATAGAAGAGTAATATTAGTTTATAGAAGAATGGAGGGATGGGGAAGGAACAAGGAAAAGGTGCATAATAAAGGGGTAAAAAAAAAAGGAGCAATGAAAAACCTAAAGAGGAAACTTACGGTTGGTGTAATACTCATATTCAGCAGTTCGTTTGCTGTCCATGAGATGTAGGTAAAATTTTTGCAAAATGGATCTCATTAAAATTTTGATCCTAGTTATGGCCCTGCAAACAGATCAGTATTGTTTTGTCCCATTTTCTAATGTTTGTCCTGTAGCTAATCACAACTGCTGCACTATTTAAGGTGGAACTGGAACATTCGAACAGTAAGCTGGTGGAAGAAAAGCTAAATTCAGCCTAATAGTTTTAACACTGGTAGTATTTTTTGTTAAGGTTAAGAGTTTTGGCCTATCAAAATGTCCCAGATAGCAATGTAACGTTGAATCAACGTTGAAAAGTTGTAATTTTCGTCTTTTTTGTTGAGCAAAAATCAACTACAAATCTTAGGTTGATTTCTAAAATATTGTTTAAACATTGAAAGCAAGACATTAAATCAACATTGAATTGTAGTTATTGTCTAACAATACTAACTCAGTTAGCAAAGAGGCTGTTTGGCTGAGTGTTGGAACTGATGGCTGACCCGTGTGTGGCTAAGCACGTGACTTGCTTAAAAAGGTATTGTTTCCAATGACAGGCATTTCCTCTGCGATCTTTGTATGTATACTCTGGTATATGAACAATAAACTTTTGTGCTTCTAATTGCTTCACTTAGACTTGTTTTGGTTGATGTTTTGTTTGATGGTGCAATGTGTATTTTTAATGTAAATTATGTTGCATATAGTACAGATTAACACTGGTGAATGGGTACCATTTCACTGGAGCAGGGAAGACTCAATGGAGATGGAGATTAAAGAAAATGACCAACTAGAGCTTGCAGGGGAGAAACTATCCCACCACAAGTGAGTGTATGTATATATTTATCTACACTCACGGTCTGCTTTATTTGGTACATTTACCTACACACAGGTTTCTGTATTCATTGTCAATTTTATTAGGTCCACTTATCAAATATGGTTGCCCTTTCGGTTTATTGGACTCTCTTCTGGATCTTTCATTGTTGTCTTTTGTCTCTGCCCTACTGGTTATGATTGGTCTGTTTTGCCTTCTTGCTATTTTGGATTTGACCCACACCTGTAACACGACTACGATTCTTGCCAATTCCTTTTGTATTAAAGCCTCTCCTCTTTTCCGCGAGAGTCTGACTGGGTCTGTCATGTTACAGAATACCTCGCCATCAATGCAGACGGCGGATCATGAGTCTCTCCAGAAGGCCCTTAGAAATCAGGGTCATATGCTCGGGCAACATCAACAGGTTTTGGCTGTTGCATTAACTCAACAACAGACAGAACAGCAAACGCAACTCGTACAGCTGGTCGCCAGTGTGAAAGAGCTCACTTCACAACTCCAAGCTCTAGGTATGTCAGCAGAGAGTGATAATGCGGCTAATGTGTCTACGCCCATTGAAATATCCAATTCTGTTTTTTCGGTTAAGCCTGATAAATTTAATGGTAATCCAGGAGGTGCCATGGTTTTCTTTTCCAGTGTGCCATATTCTTTAGTAATTCTCCTCCTCACTCTGATTGCACAGTAGTTGCGTATTCTCTGGAATTCCATACACTGGCAGCAGGTAGCGGATAGAGTGAACCAGGAATGAGGAATGTTCAGGAATGAACAACATCCAGGAAACAAGAGAGGAATTAAACCACCAGCCGTGCTACCTTGGGTGATTCAAGAGCCAATCAAACCCATGCAATGTGATCTCGTTTGTCGGCCGAGGAGAGACTTTGTCGGATGAAGGAAAGGCTTTGCTTCTACTGTGGAGATGCTGGTCAAGTTCTACGAGACTGCAGTGCCCGTCCACACAGATTTAAGGCGCCGACCCCTGAAAATGTGGTGATGTGCCAAATTCTCTCCTTTGTCATTCCAACCCATATCGTTTCCAGAGCTGAGGGGAACTTCATTCACGCAAGACTCGTTGAGCAGCTGCAGATTCCTGTGATGGCTTTGAAGGTTCCCTTGCGCATTGCCACACTAGATGGAGAGCCTGTGGAACCAGGATCCATCACTCAAGAAACCTATTAGAATGTGTGCCAGTGCGCTTCACAATGAACAAATTTCCATCTTAGTTTTAGAAGCCTCTGAGTTCTCTGTGATATTAGGTCTCCCCTGGTTAGAAAAGCATAATCACCGTCTTTCTTGGTCCTCCCATTCAGTAACTGCATGGTCAGAACATCGTTATGAGAACTGCCTTACCTTACTGTGTATTCAAGTCAGCTCTATATCAGTAGAAAGTCCTAAAGCAGACACAACTTATAGCACTCCATTCAAATATTCCGACCTCCAAGAAGTTTTTAATAAGGGAAACGCCACTAAGTTACTGCCACATCATCCATATGACCATATTGACCTTATTGAAAATGCTACTCTACCCAAATCGAGAATTTATCTGTTAACCCAGGAAGAGGAACAGGCTATGAATATTTCTATACAAGAAGCATTGAAACAGGGGTTTATCAGACCGCCAATTTCACCAGGAGCCACAGGGTTTTTCTTTGTAAAAAAAGAAGGATGGTGGCCTTCGTCCTTGTATAGATTACAGAGCATTAAACCAAGTGACTAAGAAGTACACCTATCCTCTCCCACTAATCCTGGTAGCCTTAGAACAACTTCGAGGAGCTAAGTATTTCACCAAATTAGACTTACGTAGCGCATACAATCTTGTGAGAGACAGCATTTGTTACCACTAGGGGGCACTATGAGTACCTGGTCATGCCTTTTGTTTTATCTAATGCCACTTCTGTGTTTCAGGCATTCATAAATGATGTTCTACAAGACATGGTTGGTCAGTTTGTCATTGCCTACGTAGACGATATTCTAATTTACTCCCCTGACTTAGATACTCATATAAAACAAGCCTGTTCTGTCCTACAGAGACTTCGAGAGAACAACCTGTATGTTAAGGGAGAGAAATGTGAATTTCATATGCAGTCTGTGTTCCTTAGGTTATGTAATCAGTCAGAACTGTGTCTTAATGGACGACCACAAGGTGTAAGCGATCATGAACCGGCCTCAACCTGCCTCAGTTAAAGAACTTCAGCGTTACCTGGGTTTTGCAAATTTTTACAGACGCTTTATACGTCATTTTAGTAGTATAGGATTCCCCTTAAAGGGTTCCCCTCGTAAGTTATGTTGGACCCCTCAAGCTGAGATGGCTTTCAACTCCCTGAAGGACGCTTTTACCTCTGCTCCAGTACTTAAGCATCCGGACCCATCTGAACCCTTCACTGTAGAGGTAGATGCCTCCGAGACAGGAGTGCAGCCTGGAAGCAGGAATAACCAGCCTGGCACAGTTATTCTCTGATGGCTTGCTCATGATAACATACCGGATAACGGTCACTTTCAGTATACACAACTGAAAGATGTTATAAAGAAAACATCTTAATAGTGAAAAATAGTAGTTTATAGTAATAGTTAATAGTGAAAAATGTTGTTAAAAATGGACCTCAGATATAAAAGAAACAAATCTCAACTGGCAAAATATGTGCAGTGACATCTTCTCTATGACCAGCAATTCAAAACTCAGCTAATTCGATATAAAACCCTTCACAGAACACACATTACAGCCTCTAAACTACACCGTATGGGATTAGTCACAGTGATGCATGCCAACATTGTCCAGCTTTAACAGACAATTACTATCATGCTTTCTGGATTTGTCCCCCTACTCAGCAGTTTTGGTCAGAGGTCGTGGACAGGCTTTCAGAGATTTTGGGCCTTGTCATCCCTTTATGTCCCATTGTAGCACCTACTTCATTCTCAGCACCCAATCACCCCAAATCCTTTATAGTGATATCATTTACCATTGCCAAAAAACGTATATTGCTGAATTGGACGGACAGAACCAAAATTTCAGTAAAGCATTGGCTCAAGTCCTTATGGATCACTGCAATTTGGAATGATGTACAGCGAATTTGAAAAATAATACAAAACCATTAAATGAAAGTTGATCACGATTTTCACAATATAGGAAGGGCCGTGGATGGAGGGGGGTTGGGTGGTTGTAGTACCACATCACCTTATATCTGTATGGCTATGAATAAACGATGAGAACAACCAATAGTGAAGCACTCTTGAGTTCTGCCCACCCTTTTGTTATGCCCCCCCGACTTGGAGGTTTTCCAGCCTGCCGTAATCCCCCACTGGTTTGTTCATGGAGAATAGGTTTTAACTGGTTGTTTCCAGTGACTGTTTTTTATAGTACTTGATTGATTGTAAATACTCCAGCACATGGGCAGCAGCAAAGGCACAAGGAGCACGGCTAAAAAGAACAACAAGGAAAAAAAAAAAAGGAAGAGGAAGTAGTCTATGACGACAAAGGAAGTCATCATAAAAACTTGTGCCTCTAACACGGCCGTTTTTAGTTTCATTTGTGTGCAGTTAGCCTTGGAGAACCGGCCTGACCCTCCCAGCTGAATACAGCAGTGGGCCATAGCTTACAGGAACGTTACTGCACTGTACGAGATAAGAGAGTCAAGTCAAATTTAGTCAATGAAGAGGAGGGCAAGGAGGGGGAGGAGGAAAATGGATCAGTCAGCAAATAGGCCAGATGGTCAAGATGTAAGTTTGTGACCTGCATCAGAGTAGAGATTCTGTTTTGAGTGAGCGGAAGCTCTGAGTAGCTGTAAAGAAATGTCTTTTTCTTCTTGTTGTCCACTGCCTCAGTGTCCAGATCTGCCTGTTGCTGTTATTGAGGAGATCATTCTGAACCTCCCTGCTGACCAGGCTCTGCGTGTGTGCCGCCTGGTGTGTCGCGAGTGGAAGGTGGTGGTGGACAGCGCTTCATTCTGGAGAGAGAAGTGCCGCAGAGAAGGGCTGAAACCCCGCTGCATCACCACGGAGCTCTGGGACTGGAAGACCTTCTACTTTCTTTTTAAGGAGGCTCGCAACCTTCTGAAGAATCCCAGCGCAGACGGTGAGTCGGAAATGGACTGACTGCTTGTGTAACGTTACATTTTTCACAATTGAGTCAAATTTGCCATTGGAAGATCAACACTGTAGAGCTTAACATACATTCTACTTTATTTAACTCGCCTGAGCTACTTACAAAGACCTTCATGAGTTAATTCAGAGTGTAAAACTCTGCTGAAAAAAAAAAACATTTTAACCATTAAGTGTTTCCATTGGTTCCTGATGGTTTTGTAATATTTTGGCTTTTTTAGTGAGTTGATATCACAATGTAAAAGATCCTAGTGGTTTAACAGGTGACCAATGGCTGATTCTAAATGCATCTGATGGTTTCTTAATGGGATCTAAAGGTGTTCTACAGGAAAGTAGTGGTCTCTACTGAACAGCAATAAGCCAATTCCTTTTAGAAAGCAAAACTATTTAATCGTAATGGCTTCTAATGGTCCTTCTTCAGCAGGGAAACAACATGATGGTCCACTGACTTATAACCGGGAAAACAGCATCTCTGTCGTTGCCACTCCAGGCCCATGTAACTTTGGAGGAGTGGGCACGAGACCTCTCGCAAGAACTGTGTAATGCTTTACAGCACAGCGTCCAACAACTATGTCCTCAGCTAGCTATAAGAAGTTTGCTCGATAATCCCAGTATGGATATAATGTCAGAGGCTGTTAAGAGACCGAAAAAAACATCAAGCGAGGAAGAGAAAAAGAGAAAGTGAGCAAGAGACTGGACAAGAGTAAATCTCCCACTGGCTTTTACTCGTTGATGAGAGCTAAAAGAGATAAAAGAATGCAAGACTGTCTCACAGCTAACGGGAAAACAACAAAAACCAGAGTGTCATTTATGAAATATTGCAACGTGGCTGTAACCTTATCTGTATCATCTCATGGAGTTTTCTAATTATCCAGATGTCAAAAGTCATCTAACCACAGTCCCATTTCAGGCCAGTGTCACACCAAAAAGTTTGGTTAGTCTTTGTCAATCTCACACCAAATAAGCCTCGAAAGTTTGCGACCTCCTGTATTAAAATCATGTAAAATGTGGCAGCGTCACACTAAGGCCCAATCCCATTTATTCTTTTTATCCCTACCCCTTGTTTTCGAGTGTCACCCTAACCCCTTGGAACCGAGTTACAAGGGGTAGTGGTTGAAATCTCGCCCTACGAAATGGGACCCTCAAATATAAAAAAAAAAAAACAACACAGAACATTTCTTCATTAACAGCTACTAGAGCTGCTCTATAGGCGACTCGACCCGTCTTCAGTGATAACAGAGCAGGGTAAAGTTCAGCTCCTCACTGCTGGGCTTTAGTTACATTTAGGGCATCATGTGCCTTAAAAGAAGGGGGCAATTATTTATTACCGTCCACTGCTAATTCTTTGGTGATACGAAGCTGAAGTGAGCTATTCACTAAATGGTGTAGCAGTTACATTCTGGCGCTTCAGGCATCAGAACTATTTAAGGTGGAACGGGAAAGTTAGCTAGCTACCGAGACATTAGCATGCTATTAGCGAGTTTTTTATGCTTGTTACAAAGAAAACGACCATAATACATTGAAACGACATTAAACTAAGATAATACAGTGGTTATCGTAATTTTTTTAACTGAGAAAATTCTCACATTCATGGGTTTCTTTGTTCAGCCATCTTGCCGGTTTTTCTTTTTTTCTCATAACACTCCATGGGGATGAGCCTCTGAAGCCACTTGGGATGAGCCTCTGAAAAACCTCCGTTTGTAGGGTCATGTAGCCCTAACACTTCGCCCTACCCCTCTATCTCAACAAAAATCGGGACACCCTACTCCTAGACGTGAACGTGCAAAACAGAGAGCTAAGGGCTCAGTGGTAGGGGCGAGGGGTGAAATGGGATTGGGCCTAACATACTAATATTTTAACACGCCTCGGATTGAGCTCTGGTTTAGGTGCTTGTACTTCAATCATGGGAGGTGGGGTGTCAGGGTTTTGTTTTCTTTGACCCATTACCCAGATTCAATTATGGTAACTATATAAAGGACCAAAGAAACCCTAAACAGTTCTGCGCTGCACCCCTTCAAGAATCAAATTCGAGTGATATGCATATAGTTCTGGTCCTATTTTTGAGAATTTCTGGCTTTATCATTAAAGGCCAAACATATCAATGGTCGGGGGTGGCTGGTAGCCTAGTCGCAAGAGGTGAGCGAGCAATCAGCCCGAATCGGATTACATACCCCTGGATGTGCACCTGGGCAAGGCACCCAATCCCCACTGCCCCAAGTGGCACCGCTCTGCTGGCAACACTGTACTGCATTGGGCATTGTTAGTCATGGGGCTGGGCAATGTGATGAGATTTAGCATTGTTGTGGTAAATTACTAACAATACAACACAAAATATCTTTTATTAGAATACTGTCCAACTGCATGTTTCATTACAAACAGGGCATTAGTCCTGCTTTAACTAATAAAAAATTTATTATATTCAAATGTGTTCAAATTGCACTGCTGGTCCTTTGCTGTCTGTCCAACTGATCAGACATCGGAAAAAATTGATATCATGAAATATCATGTATCGTGAAATTTCTTGAAGTATCAGGATATATTTTTGCCATATTGCACACTAGTTACAAGGACCATTTTCCGTTTTAAATGGCTAGCACAATGCTGTCACCAAAAAAAAGACATGATTACTCAAAGAACAAAGTATGACGCACAGATTGTCCCATTAGATGTGTAGCTATGACTTCTCCAGAATATATTTAGATAAGAAAACAATCAAAAAGATCAAAGTGTGACACTGGGACATCCCAAATACTAGCAGCATTTCACATTTGGCCTGTTACTGTATCACTACTACTACCAACAACTATTCTTGTTCTCTTTTGTAGAGAGTTTCAGTGGCTGGGAGATCATACAAAATGGAGGTGACGGGTGGACCATTGAGCGCATATTTGCACCTCACCCAGATAACACAGTAACAAAATGCTTTGTTACTTCTTACCAGTAAGTTCTCAATTTTAAAATGACTACAAATTCTTTTCACTGTTCATATATTGGACACTAGTAACTTCCATGCTACTTATTTGTTGCATGCCACCCTCTACTGCTCTATATAATAAGCTGGAAATATAATAGAAGCAATTAAGTTATCAATTTTAACTTATTTCCTCAGTTCATGCCTGAAATGTCAGCTGATTGATCTGGAGAAGGAAGGTTACAGTCCTGCGTTCCTTGATGAAATGCAGCCTGACATTGTGATTTCAGATTGGTGAGCATTCGTTTATTGGGGGGGCGGTGGGGATATGTAGATCACATTCACTGAAGTAATCTTCTTTTTGTACAGGTATGCCCCACGGCGTGACTGTGGAAGCAAATATGACATTTGCGTTGAACTGCTGAATCAAAACCAGGAGGCAATCCAAACCTTTCAACCAGAGAGTGTCTTCTTTCCACAGTGGAATGATCAGCAATGGAAAGAGGTGGATAACATATTATATGGAATAAAACAGTATTCAGAAAAAGGGACTTGACAAATCTATACATAGACTGACTGATAGGCTCTGCCTTACCCTTTAATTTGGGATCAGAAAGCTATTCTCCCTTTAGCAGGATTTCAAAAACATTGGCAAAGTGTCTGCAGGCATCCTTAGATTAAATTTAATACTGACAATAAGAGAGTTTCACAGACCCAGATCAAGCCTAACCCTTGGCTTAAAAGAAATCGCATTGCAATTTATTCTGAGAACAAGCTTAATTCATGTCATGGAAACAATTTTTTAAAATTTCATTTCTAATGTAATTTAGTTCTACATGTGCAATGACTATATACTATTTCTATTCTCAAAGCAGCTTATATCCATATCAGACTGACTCTGTGTTTGCTAGCTCAAATGATTCAACAGCGAGTGAATTATTCATTGTGCATGACACCCTTTACCAGGCGTTACTGGGTGATTATGAGCAGGATTACATTAAAACCACTGTTACACACCAAACACAATTTTTCAAATGGGAAAAATGCAAGATTTTTTTGTCCCCTTTTCGATTTCAGAGACTGTTGACAGGCGACATAAACTTGTAACTAACATGATCAGGATTATCCTTTGTCCTTTGCTTCAACATGTAAGGTGCTGCATTTCAAACGCAGATAAAACTGGGCTACAGATGTCTGAACTACAAGCAAAACAAGTTTCAGCTCCTGAACGAGGGCTCAAACTCTGTGTTGCTTTCACTCTTATCAAATTTGAAAGTGGCAACCAAGGGCACCCTCGGCCTTTTTTGTGAGGAACAAAGGATAGCTGTCATTTAAGGACATCTGCAATTTGTTTATTTATTCATTCAATAAATAAATAAAGTGGCCATGGATTTCATAAGTTTTTCCTGTCTGCTTGTTTCCAAGATGTTGTTGAAATCGGTCAGAACCTGTTTTAACTTCATTTAGTGGATATGACTTTAAAAAGATAAGCCTTCCAAAAAAAACAGAACTTAATTAGAATATGTTAATTTTCTATCACAATCCTTTAGATTTGGTTATGGAATGTATGTAACAGGTACTCAGTAATCCGTACCAGAATACAATTTTAAAGTAATCCTCCTAATCCTGCCTCTTAAAGAGACATAGGCTGTCTGTATCCTAATCTAATCCAAATATAAATTCAAGTTAAAGGGTAACAATTCTGAAGGACTTAAATGCATAAAATGATGTTCCTCTCTGCTGTATTTTAGATGAAACATGTCTTTAAAAACTACGGACGAGGAGTTCGCTTCATCCGTTTCACTCATGGAGGTCAGGACACAAAGTGCTGGGCAGGCTACTATGGAATACGGGTCACCAGCAGCAGTGTTAAAGTGTGCCTAACAGCAGGGTGATGTTTACACCCACTACTACAGGAATTACTGTGTTGTACTTGTGCCTTAATCCACACCACCTCTTTTAAAAATACTGTATGGGGGGTGTATTTTGTTTCTAGAGATTATATGTGTTCAGCATGCTACTCTTGAACATATTCGTTGGACCTTCAAAGGTTCCACTCTAAGATTTAACAAAATATGGCAACCCTGGACCACATCCACTTATATCTAACTTAAAGGCTATCTGATTCCTGCTTAATGCGTGCCATTTCTCCTGTTCTTTTATTATTTACAGTATTTTCATTCACACTAAAACTGACTTGGTTACATATATCATTTTTTCCTCACTTTATTCCTTTGTACTTGTTCGTATGTTGCACAATAAAAAGATCTGCAAAAAGGAAAAAATAAAAAATATATATTTGAATTGTTGAACGGCAAAGGATCACCTTTACATCATTATTTAAAGTATTTAGTTTCCTGTTATGAATTCCAATCAATGAAACGAGTCTGGTGAAATGCATTATTCACACTGAGCATTTCTGTGATGAACGATGGAACATGGCCAGTAAGTGCTTTAATAGATAAAAAGAAGCCAGTGTGTCTCCTGACGCACAGCCAGAGATGCCTTTTCATATAGTATACAGTGATGAGATGTATGGGTCACCAGTAATCAATCCTAAAGCAGAGAGGTACAGTAGTTTAGAGTATTTTGTTTTTAGAGATTAGGGGCAAAAAAACAAAAACAAAACAAAAAAAACACCTGTCTTTGTGCGCCGCTGTTGCAGGGCTTATAATAATATTGTATGCCCTTTGAAACATGCTTCGCCTGCCCACTTGTGGTCTGTGGCCCAGTGGTTGAAAAGCCCTTGCTTTAGTACATAAGAGATTTGCTTTGAACAATAAATGTGTTTGAAATGCTGGAAATGTTTATTTCTATGTAATATTCACATGTAATAATTCTTTTCTGTAACGAAACATTCAATATAAAAATATATATTAAAAAAAAAAAACATGGGTTTTGCATTTGAACTGTTGAATGGCAAGGGATCAACTTTACATCATAATTCTTTTGAACGTAATTATAAGTTCATCAAGAGAGTAATGAAAATTATACATATAAATAAAAAAAACTGAAGGTTGTTCAAAGAAGGTCAGGACTGACTGATCCAAATGAACATATGAAAAATATGGGATTTAACATGACCACAGTTCTAATTTACAGACGTGTTAAAGTGTATGGAAAGGGAACTTCCATCCATTTCTCGATCCATCTGTCTTAAATTTAGGTAAGCCAAAAATAAATAAATAAAAAAAAATAATAAAATAAAAATCCTAATAACAAACTGGAAAAATCCTTTATGAATTCATTTTAGTGAAAGTGATCGACTGTCTTCATATATTTTTAACTTTTGGCCCACTTTCAGAAAAGTTCTCTATTACAGTTTTTGAGTTGTTCTAGGTTACCTGTAACCTAAAAGGTATAGCCATCAAGGTCTGTATGCTGGTACATTAATCAAGCCTGAGCCCATGTGATCAGACACAGTAACACTTACTAGTTCCCAGCTTTTGTGGAGACCTTTAAAAGTATTTCGAATAATTGGTTAATTTGTATGAAATAAACACCATAATTATTGCTGCCATTCCAGAAATGCATGAAAAATATCCAACAGGTTATCATAGGATATTTGATCTTAATATTGTCAGAATTCACCACAAATAAATAGCTGAACTGAAAAGCACTCTTTAGCTTTAAGCACTACATCACCTCCATGTCAGAAGAGGACAATTATGACACATTTGACAAATCAAGATAATCTTAACTGACCACAAAGTTTTTTGCCAAGTAATATCTTACACTCATTACACATATCCACTTTGCTCAACTGAGGTGGCATAATATTTCAAGGCAAATATGAAAAAGAAAAATAATGGTATTCGAAATAGTTCAATTCACTTCCTGATAATTGTTTCAGATTAAGAACCAAAAGTGGTTCAGAATCAAAACTGGTTCTTGTGTTTAGTTTCCATTTTCCATAACCGTACATCATGATGATTTATGCCTGACAGGACCTACGTAAAGGCTGAACTCATAAAAGAACACATTTACGCTTCTTCTTAGGCTCCGGGGGCTCCAGGGCAGCTAGGATGGCCTCATCAAATACATTCTTCAGCCCTTTCTGTAAATAAACAGCAAGGAAATGAGTTAGTCTGATCAAGAACAGAAGCCGGAGCAGAATAAGACCTGCATCCGTGGTATTTATGCTGAGCACAACATCTCTGGCTATAGTGGCAGAGCACTGATAAAGCCCTAATTATGCGTTAGGAGGCACATTAATCTCTCACCAGTGACCATCCACACTACTGACACCATGAATGCTGCCATGATCAGAGAAGCTTAAGGGTGGTATTGTGGTCCAAGATGTGATCTCATAACGATGGAGAGAAGAAGGAATTTGGCTTTAAATGTGGGCAGAATTTATCGGAGTGATGGAGTTTGAAATGTCTAAACTCTCTAAACTGGGGATTCCAGTCCTGGAGAGCTGGCTTCCTGCACAAATGGGTGACTTTCCTGCACAAACACACCTGATTCAACTCATCGGTTACCTGCCAGATTTAGCTGGAGTATTAGAGTGGTGGGGGGGCCCTCTGGCCCTCACATTCCCACCCCTGTCCTAAACCAATCTTGAGCGTTGGATTTTATAGTGGGACAAGAAATTGCTCTGGTCTGCTTGTCAACATCAACAATAAGCTTGTCGATGGTGCCACAGAAGACTGACAAGAAAGACCGCAATTAAGCTATGTTCACGTTACAAGCCTGATTTCACAAATCTGATTTTTTGCTCAAATCCGATCTCTCTGACACGATGGTTCACACTTGTTTAGGTAGGTGACTCAATTCTGTCATTAATGTGAACGAACCGATGTCCTGAAATGACCCGTATGAGCACATCCTACTCAGTAACGTCACGTGAATGAATCACGTTCATCATCAGCAAACAGACTAACGAGCAGAACGAGCTTCGCTGAGAAGATAAATAACTCTGATCAGCTCTCAGCTTCATTATTAGAGCGAGACGAAGGAGAAAAAGGTGAGATGAGCTGCTTTTCCACCGTTTACAGGCTTTAACTTCTGTTTGGCGCTGCTGCCATGGTAACACTGAATGATGATCCACGCGCAGTGGAAAAAAAGCACATCAATTCCGATCTGAGCATCACATTAAGGTCACATGGCCATAAAACGGATACGTATCCGATCTAGGGCCACATATGAAAATTGCTCGGGTTGGATTTGAAAAGATCAGATTTGCGTGTCCACACAGCTCTGTAAACAGATCCGAGTCACATCAGGGCAAAAAATCAGATTTGTGTCACTTCAACCTGGTAATGTGAACTTAGCCTTAGGCATGCACCATGTATCTGCATTCTCTTCCCAGGAAAAAGAATTTAGATATATATATATCATATTTTATATTATATTTATATATTTTTCCCTAGGATTCATTTCAAATGAGTTTGCCAAGATAAGTTGCTTACAATTTTCAAATTTCATTTGTGAAACTTTGCCTTGAGTTCAGCATTGCTGAGGTTTGTCACAAGTCCTCAACCAACAGTGCTACTGTTTGGGCCGTGTTGACCTGTGCTGAATATACAAACGGGCGTAAACGCTAAATTTAGCAGTGTCTAAGCACATCTTTAACATATCATCCCCACTAGTTATGAATAAACACATAAAAAGAGCTTGTAAAGCAAACTGTCAGTTGGGAAACTCTACTACTCACTGTTTATGGTACATGAGTTAGCCAGCATGCTAACTGCTAGGCTAGCATCTGCACACACAAGTCACCCAACTGCCAACAACCGTGGCAGTTACATACTCTTTTTTGCACAACTCAACGTGCTAGCGAGTATATTGCCATTGTCGGAAGAAAACCTCGTATTTCCTTTTTGACATTTTCAGTTTTTGACATAATTTGAAAATATTTGTTACCCTTTACATTGTGTGTAAATTTCGTGATGATAGGACTAAAAGAAATGACCCAAATTTACTTGGGAAAAAAAGTCTGGTTCCACTGACTTACATTAAAAGTAAAGCAGGTTTTTTCTCCTGTAAAGTTACCATTTTGGAGATACAAGGTTTTCTTCCGAGTACAGTGATATAATTATGTTTGCTTTTGTGTCTTTACTGTTCATGTTAGTTAGCTAGTTTGCCAACTGCACCAATCTTCTGGTCCAGCCTTGGCCACACCCCTTTTCGCAAGATATCTAAACTGCAAATCTGAAGTGTGATTGCAGATTAAGGCCTGTGGTTTAAAGTCTACTCACCTGTGTTAAAGCCGAACATTCCACATATTTCACCGCTTTCAGGTCCCTGGCTAGTTTCTCTGCCGTTTCGGGAGTGATGGGCTTCTGCTTGTTCTTGGCAAGCTTTTCAGTAGTTGAGGGATCGTCTCTAAGGTCAATCTGCGTTCCGACCAATAGGAATGGGGTCTTTGGACAGTGATGGGTAATCTCAGGGACCCACTGCATGCACAAGGAAAGACAGGAAAGCTTGTAAACACACTTCTAGGTCGGCTTGGCAGGTCTGAGATTAAACACTTTGATGGGTTTCAAAACATCAACACCTTAATCTCACAAAGAGAAAACAGAGCAAGAAACTGTTGGCTGTTGTTGGTTGAATTTTTCCAAAATCAGATCTTACTTTTTCTTTGACGTTTTCAAAGGAAGAGGGTGAAACTACAGAGAAACAAACTAGGAAGACGTCGGTTTGGGGATAGCTCAGGGGACGCAACCGATCATAATCTTCCTGACCTAGAAACAGAGAAAATGACATCCTTTTAGATTTGTGGCTAAAATGCATAAAATATAGGCCCAATCCCACTCCACCCCTCACCCCTACCACTGAGCCCTTAGCCCTCTGTTTTGCATGTTCTTGTCTAGGATTAGGGTGTCCCAATTTTTGTTGAGATAGAGGGGTAGGGCGAAGTGTTGGGGCTACATGGCCCTCCAAACGGAGG